CCCGTGCTGCCTCAGGTTCCTGTCGTGAATTATTCAGATTCGCTCTTGGAATACTTCCTATCATCTGTCTCGTTGTCAACCAAGTGTTTGAGCTTCTTCCGAGCCTTTGCTCAGGGCTCTTCCCCCTGAGGCCTGTCCCTCCCCTCTTGTCCCTTTAAACACAGAGCTGATCACTTCCTGCTCTGCCCCCCACTGTTCATTGCACTCGATGGTCCTTGTGCCTGTTGTGCTCTAAGTTTAATGTGTAATTGTCTGTCCTTATTCTTCTCAAGGGTCTACCTTATGCCTCGGGGGGTAGTCACGGTTCCTAGCCAAGATTTTGACTTGTAAATATTCAATAAATGTTTGTCAAATGAATAAATGAATGAACAAATGTTGGAACATACATGCAAAGACTGTTCATATCCTCCCTATATTGTGATACATATATGTATGTATCATATCATATACATACATATATATATTCATATATTCTAAGGTTAAGAGTAGGTAGAATGATGGAAATGTAAATAAATTTAAAATAAGAAAGAAAACAAGGCAAAATGTATCAGTATTTTACTATCCTTAGCAACATCAAGTTTCTAGTTTAAAACACATGCACTGTGAGCTTAATATTGAATTAGAAATGTAATGTTCAATGAATCAATTCTTAGACAATGCAGATATACTAATTTGCATATGAATTGTTCCTTTCCCCCTCAAAGGTATCGTTTAGCCTTTCTCATCACTAACCATTGCTTCGCTGCATGTCAGGCTACCACCGCCCCAATATTAGTAATGCTCTTTAACAGCCAATAAGCAAGGTGCTTAGAGCTACTCCATTCGAAAACCTATCAGGGCGGAATTTTAAAATATTCCCTGATATTCTCCTAGTGAGTATTAACAAAGGCTTATTCCCTATTACCTGATTAGTAAATATTATTTTCTTAAAATTATGCAGGAGATCATAATGAACTGTCAATACTGTGACGAAAATAAAACACTAGTCACATTATAAGGGTCTTAACTCCCCGTGCACAGTCTTGCATTGCCGGGAGTATATTAAAGAATAATGCGAGGGGGGGACCTTAGTGGAAATGTTCTATTATTAGAAGTGAGATTTTCTTGTTGAAATCCCATGAAGACTTTCTTTTCTGAATGTTCTTTGAAGTTGAACACTTTCTACTTACAAAATCTGGCCACTGTAATTAGCTGTGTTTCCATTGTAGGGGTGACCTCCTTTGCCTTACCTCCAATCATATAAAGATGTGAGGCCATTGGTGAGATAAAAGGTTGACTGAGACCAGGTCTCTGGCCTGGGTGTTATCAGTCTGGCGATCATAAGCCCACAGGACACCCTTGGAGCATTGCAAAGGCTATGTAAGAAGGTATTTCCTTCTCTGCTGGGAAGATGCAGTGTTTTCTCTGTTACACCCTGGAAGGGTGTTATAGAATGTATTAGGGTTAAAGACGAGGAGAAAAATTGGCAGATTAAGAAACAGGACTGCCAGTTTTTAGCATGTGCACACATGCGCACTGCACACAGCAGAGTAAGGGGTCAAGAGATTGTCATCTCAACCGGGCCATTTGCAAGCTGTCTGGTCTTGGACAGATTGACTCAACATCCCTCAGTTCCAGCACCTGTAAAATGATTTAGTGCCCTTATTATAGGAGTGTAAGTGTGAGGGGGGAAAATGTTTGAAGCACACAGTGTTTGTCACAAGGTAAGCTTTTAGCAGCTCTGTTACTATTACTCCAGCCGTTAATATCATCATAGCAGTTTGTTGGCATTTTTGGCTCAGCTAAGGATTTTTAGTCTTTTCTTTTCTTTTCACAGTCATACAGTTTGCCTGAGGTTTTTTTGTTTCGTTTTGCTTCGCTTTTTGATTTTTCCATGTCAAATTTTCATTGCATGGAGAGCTATCAAAATTTTAAAATTGATTTCATGTAGACTTCCATTTTTTTCAGACTGGTTGTCAGCTTTTTGTAGTGTATGTTTCTCATGTTAATTTTTAAAAGTTTACTAAAGAATATTTAAGTGAATTTCACTGGATATACTACAGTTGACCCTCCAAGCAATATTTGACCCCGAAAAGCTGACCTACATTTTAACTAATAAGTTCACACTGAAGGTAAATGTCATAAGATAAATTCTAAAGTGATTTTTTAAAGGCGGGTGTAATTAGAGATCTAGTTCTCCAGAAAAGCACCAAGGAGAATTAACCACAGCTATTTTAGAGATGAACGTGGTTCCTCTCACCCACTGCTCTGTTTCTGTAGGACAAGCTGTAAATCTCATCAAGGTATCTAAACTCTTCATTATTTCATTGTAGAAGGAAGAGATCACAGTCACGGTGATGAAAGGACATGCTAATGGGAAACATTTCCATAAAGGAAAGGGATGTGACTTTGCAAAGCTCATTCATCCCAGGACTAAATCTAGGAATCTTTTGCTTTCTTCAGGTGCAAAACATGGACATTTCACGCAGCATGCCACCTTTTTCTCAATCCATCTGGCAAGTCCTTGCGTAGAACTCACAGCTCTAAGTAGCATCTGGGCCGCCCTAATGTCAGCCTTGTTGCTGTTGCTGTTCATTTGCCAGTGAAAAATTTCATGAATTAAGATATATATGTTCATTTCCTAAGGGAATTCCTTGTAATATCAAATGCAGTCTCCTAACCCTGTCTTTTCACCAGTGCCTTCTGCGTAGTAGCATCAATTCTTTGCCATCTTTGGAACTATTTATCTACAATTGAAGACTAGGACCAGGGAGAGAGAGGTGTTAGTGTTAATCATTTGGCTGCATACGAGAAGCATTGGTAAAATTACTATTTGTCATTTTCTGACGGTATAGCATTTACAATGGGTGCACTTAGAAATAATTTAAAGGAAGGAAGAAATGCTCAACCCTCACAAAGTACACTCTGAATCTGACCTTGTTACAATTTTGTGAGATTTTTTAAATCACTTTTAGAATTTCTTGTCGTAGAGAATGAATTCTTACAATTTTAGATTCGTTTCTTCCATAATCACTGTCCCTAGAGTTGGTGTGTAAGTATGCATGTGTGTGTTTTGCACAAGTACCCATTTACGCACATGGTTAGTTTTAATGTTATTGATGCTTTTGACCAAAGTGCCCACCTCCCAATGGTATTTACTATAATCAGAACTGAAGAAATAATCCCTCTCAAGAGCTTGTGCAGAGCCCCCAGAAGTTTCAGGACATCCAAGTGTGTCATACAAGATTATAGTCATTTGAGTTCAGAGGACTCCCAGCTCTGATGGTGTGAGAGAACAGGTACAAACACAGCATATAAAGGTAACAGTGGCCTGAAGACACTCGGCAGTGCTGGGAGGCTATGGGTCGGACAGGGAGGGAGAGAGAGATGGGTTAATCAGGAGCTGCTCTCTGGGGAAGATTGCCCAGACCCTGACTGACGCCTGACATTGATTAATCGATACTCCATCCTTGTGTTTAACAAGTGTTCCATCCAAGAAGTCTTCTGTAATATTTAACTTCACTTCCTTCACCTTCAATTTATGCACATTTCTTGTGTTCTCTCTTCAAGAGAGCTAGACAGAAAGCCAGTAGCAAAGCACTTTATATTCATATATCTAAAGAGGTTTTTTTGTTTGTGTTTTTGGTGTGTGTGTTTTTTGGGGTCATACTTTGGTCTCCTCCAGACTAAGGAAAAACAAACAGGTTCTTAAAGTAATCATTTCTCAAAAGGTTTATTTCATTTGACTGCTTAATAATTAATAAGCCTTGATACTGTGCTCTAAGTGTTTACTTTTTGGAAAGAAACTTAATAATTTTGACAATGATGTGGAAAGAATTATTTGGTTTCTATTTCAGAACAGAATTTTGGCTCCAAAGCCCCAAAGAGAATCCTGTTAAACTAAGAACTTTGTAAAGTAACATGAACGTTAGGATTACTGAGTTTATTGGCGCGAGCAATAGCATTTATCCATATTAATCCTACTCATAAATCATACTTTTCATTATTGCATTTTACTTTTTTGACAGGTACAAAGTTAGCGCCTGTTTCTCTATAATAGTATGACAATAACTTTGAAAATTTTGGATAAGTTTCTAAAACCTCAGCGTGTTTCACGAAGACCTCTATTTCTTTTCTCTGCGGTTGACGCTCCTTTTTTGCGCCCCATATGCACTGTGCAGAAATTGATCTGCAGCACATGTGGAGTCTCCAAGGGTATAGTTAAATTTAGTAATTTTATTACTAACTGTGAAGTTAATCTGCACTGTATGTGTTCTTTACCCCAGGAAACTGAAGTAGCAGTTCAAGCTAAGCAGCCGGATGTGGAAGGGATTTTGTCTAAAGGGCAGCATTTGTACAAGGAAAAACCAGCCACCCAGCCAGCGAAGGTAATGTGCAAAGGAAGCGACCTCTAGCCATCCCCGCTACCTCGTAATGGCTTGTGCTTTCCCTGGTGTCCACTCCCCATTGACCTGGTCCGTTTATAATCAATGAAATAACTTGTAAAGAAACATTGGCCGGACTGCAAGAGCAGAGGCAGAGCTGTCTTTTTGATCAACATATCCTATTTATATATTGTGATCTTAAGGCTATTAACGAGTCATCGCATTAAAGGACTCATTTCTGTCCTGGTGCGCTGCCATCGGTACAAAAAGTAGTCCCACCTTCAAGGTAGATTAAATTCTTTGAGGCCTTATTGCTTGGCTTGCCGGCCTCGATGTTTTTCATATCGTTCGGCTTCATTCAAATCAAGCTACTGCATCATACTGTCTGTCACCAACAGCTGTAAAGAATCACAATATGGTCTGTGACCTTTCTTTCCTCTGTTGTTCTTTCCTGTGAAAAAGGAATCGGCATTTGGGAGTCAGCATTTTATTGGGTCAAGAAGTTTTGGTGAAATGCCATGTAATCGCGTCTCTCTTTGGCAAAAAAAAAAAAAAAAAAAATCAAACAGAGATGNAAAAAAAAAAAAAAAAGCGGGCCGCCGGGGCGAAAGCTTTCCACTCCTTTCCTTTCCCCGGGCGCATGCTGAAGTCTAGGACAAGTTTATTCCTAGGCTATTACATGAGGAGAGGGATGGGAAGCCAGCTCAGTTTTCAAAAATAGCTAATCAATGGCTTCCATTTGCAAATGAGAGTCCTGTGATAAATAGGCGTTAGGTGTGGGTTACCTTATTTTCTGTACCTGACGAAAATGATAATGGCTCCCATTATGATGAAGGTTCCCGTGAGCCTGTAATGGTGGCTGTTTATTGATCAGGCCTGGTTTCTCTAGCTAATGTTGCCGGCTAAGATTTAGTGAGCCTCCCCCTCATGTTTAAAACTGCTCTCAAACAGCGCAGGTCAATAACCTCATTATACAGGCCTAGTTTGTCCTTGCAGGCATTACCATGACTTCGACTCTGTCTCTAAGGTCACCGCTTACACTTGGCCCAAGCTTCATTTCAAGAACATTGGTTTTCCTTACAGTTTACAAGGAGCTTTTCCTTAGGTAAAGTTAAAGTTTTAGCCTCAACGTAATGTCCAAATACCAGATGCCCAAAGGCACCTGGTTCTCTAGAAATATCGAGAGACATTTATTGAGGAATACGTTGCCCCACTTCTGACATCTGAATGGCTAGTAATAATGCCCATCCAGTTCCACGCCTAGTATGATGATTTTCGTGATGTCACAATGTGTTGAGTATTTAGATTAGAGAGCCAGGGAAGGTTCTGAAGGCAGCAAATGTCAGGGTTTCTGTTGATCCTCTAAGCCACGCCAGTCCCCTAGCAGACGCCTTCCTTTGTTATCAGAGCGACGCCCGTGGCACGCCCTGAACCCCACGAATGGACCATTGTGGAGGTCGACTCTGTCTACACTCGATTGATCCTCAGAGACCTTATGCAGGGTTTGGTACAGCTGTTTCAGATCGCAAATGTGCACTTAAATTGGCTCCTACTTTTGAACCTTTGTAAAAGAAAAAGAAAACCGAGGGGAAAGTCTTAATTGACAGTCAATGAGAACATTTTTTTCATTTAATTTTAATTATTTTTACTAAATTCATTGGGATGGCATTGGTTAATAAAATTACATAGGTTTCAGGTGTACAGTTCTATAATACATCATCTGTGTATTGTATTGTGTGCTCACCACCCCAAATCAAGTCTCCTTCCATCACCACTTAGCCCCCCTTTACCCTCTCCTACCCCCCTTTCCCTCTGGTCATCTCCACACTGTTGTCTGTGTCTAAGAGTTTCTTTGCCTTAATCTCTTCCCCCTTTTCACCCAGCCCCCCAACCCCCTTCCCTCTGACAGCTGTCAGCCTGCTCTCTATCTGTGAGTCTGTTTCTATTTTGTTAGTTTATTTTATTCATTAGATTCCACACATGACTGAAATCCTATGGTATTTGCCTTCCTCTGACTGGCATATTTTGTTTTCACTGGATGTAAGAAGCCAAGCAGTTGATGCTAATTTATCACGCCCCCATCCATGCCCTCAACTCCTGGGCCACTTAAGATCCGGGATCTGCCACATCTGGGCATCCCTGCCTTCTGCTGCCCCGTTCATGGTGTAAAGGGGGGACTGTCTATCTGAAATCAAAGGAAGAGCAAGGAGGTGTGAACCTTCCCTCTTTCATATCCCTTAAAACCACTTTGCAGAGCCAGAGCTCTTCTTCCCATCCCCTCCTTCCCCATTTCCTCTCAAGTCAGCTCATTTGGGAGAAGCAAAACTAAGTAAAAGTCATTCGTGTTCTACCCTTTATCCCTTGGGCTTGGAGAAGATGAAACACACCAAGTCGATAGTGACAAACGGGCAACATTGATGTTGGGGGATGTGCAGAAATAGTTGATTCACCTGTGACCTCTGCTGCAGGCCATGGCCTTGGAAACACCTGAAAATTAGCTGGAGCTTGCGGTAGCGTGAAACACTCGAGGTTCAAACATGGCCTGATAGTTCAGACCATGGAACCCAGCAATACACGGCTGCAAGCTGCGGGGACGATTTAAATCTCTGCATGGATTAAAAAAAAAATTCTTTTTAAAGGTTAGGGATGATTTTCTGAAGAGTGACCCATTTTTCTGATAGCGCATAAACAAAGCCTGCTTTCAACTTTAATTTGTTATACCAAAACGTTTAAATTGTGCTACCTAATGCCTTTTCCCCTTAACTGTCAGGTTTCTCACTGCTTAATAGGAGGGAAAAGGGTCCCAATAGCCTGCAATACATTTTCATGACAGAATTATTTTTGTGGTGGGGGGGATAGGTACATTTAGAAACTATAATAATTATTAAGAAGAAAGCAATGTTCTCAAAAAAGAAAATTAAAATCCCTCTTGTGATGTATATAAGATGGAGTATTTAAATGGATAATTGGTATGTCCACTGCTTGCAGACATTTTAATTAAGGACACATCAGAGAATGATTCTGTTTCTCAGGAAATTAACTGCCTATTGGCAGATCCACACTCTGCATAACACAGCCTGTCTGTTCAGCTCCCGCGCTCACCTGCCAAGCTGACTCCTGGTCGGGGCTGTGCTCACCTAGGCTCAATTTTTTCCTTTTATCTTCACTTCATCGACTTCTCTAGGATTTCTTTAATTTTCAAAGATGGTAAAATCTTAGAATAGTATGATCGAAGATATAAGCATCTTTGTTATGCTTTCCCTTTCCTCTCTCCTCCTCTCTCTCCTCTCTCTCTCTCTTTTCCTCCCCCTGAC